TCGAAAACTTCGAAAAACAGATTTGCATATGACCTGTTTAGGCATCTGGGTCTTTGACAGTGGACTCACTGTACACTTGACTCTTGTTTTATGGAGGTTTTTTTTGCTTGTGAGACAATGTGTGCTCAAATTTATTTGTTTTATTTTATTTATCTGTTTCCCAGCCTGAGTCTATTTAATTTATTGTTTTGGTTGTGTGTGATTTCATTAATTTATTATAATTTCATTAATTTGTTTTATTTATTATATATAATTTATAATATTATTTCACATTTCATTTGCAATGTTGATTTTTCAATAAAAAGTTATGTTTGAAAGGATGTACTTGAATTATTATTATATTTGATCATTATGTCAGTGGTCTAAAATGGTCGGTGCCGACAATATTATCGTTTTTCGCAATAATTTCCAGAAAAATGTATCGTCCAACAAAATTTATTATCGAGACAGGCCAACCCGCTGTGAAGTTGATGCATGTGTGTTATAGAGTGGTGCACAGTGACGCGTCCTAAAACCCGGAAGTAAGCTGCGCATGGGTTACCTCGACAAAAAGCAATGGGATTTCTCCATAGGATTTTGGAAAATAGCTTGAAATAAGGTCTTTGGAAAACAAACCTGTTAGATGAATGCACGTTTTGCTCAGCCAGATAATATCTACACGTCTACCCTACTTTTATAATGTTCTAATCATAAATCTAATCGATAGATTTATGATTAGCATAATAGCATGGGGTAAAAACTCCATATGTAGCTCACAATAGGAAGTTGTCTTGACTTTCTTACTTACTAGAAATACTCATTTTGTAAAGCATGTGTAGGCACGACATGATACGGGCACAAAACCTGTTCATGGTTTAACCATAAACTACCAAGGCTCTTGCTGATCCTTACATTTTTTGGAAAATTTCAACATCAGGCAGGTCAACATTACTCCTCGTTCTCAGGAACAGCAAGGCTATGTTCTCTCATGAGCTCATCGAACATTATGATGAAGTACTAGTGAGCTAGTAGGGCAAAGTCAGTTTAATGTCTCGAATGAACGATTCAGACATTTGCACTCTCAAATACAGCTTGTTTTGGTATAGAATCGTGCACTATACAGAGTCCTAAAGATTAAGCATTTTACCACTTCCTGTCGCCTTGACTCGAAGTTGATTTATATTTACGTGTTTTTGGTTAAGCTTAGGAGATATGACAGTAAAAACTCCACTTGTGAATGTCCCAAGCTTCTACGTGTCGTAAAAATGCACTGTAAAAACTGTTGCTTTGGTAAAACTTAAAAAATATGTGTCAAGTGGTTCCAAGCAATTTTAAGAGTTTAGTCAACTTTTGCATTTTTTGAGTTTGTGAAACATACTTTTTTTTGTTTTCCTCTACTCAAGAATGTGTTACTTTGCTAAAACTTAAAAAATATGTGTCAAGTGGTTCCAAGCAATTATAGGAGTTGGGTAAACTCACTAATGTGATTTTTGTGAAAAGACGAGTTGAGCCTACAATTAAAAGCCAAGATATTAAGTGTAACGAATGCAAATAACAATCTGCTGAGGGGTAAGATAATAATAATGACCGTAATAAAAATATTAACAATAATGAAGAAATGATAAAGTATTGGAAACTACCCACTGAAGTATTATTTGAATTATTTGAAGTATTAAAGTAACGTGTTATGGCAGGAAAGTTCAATCTGGTATATTCATTTTAATGTCACCTTATATAGAATGTGTGTTAAACTTGTGATTTCTGCATTGAGTGACTTCTGCCTAGCAGATACCAAGAAGAGGCCCCTAGGGTCTCTCTGTTAATTATCAATAGTCCTTGCAATTAACAGGGGAATTCCCGGATACATTTTCAGATATAAGGCGGTTAAAGTCTTGTAGAATTAATGTTTATCTCCTACACATCCTGCAGGCCTTGAGACTGGGGTCACCCAGCAGTAAATGAGATAAAGGTCCTTTTGAGCTTATCAATAAAATGTATTCATTCCTAGTAAGCTGACTTTGGGGTGAAGGGAAGTTCAGGGAAGCCATTAAGCGATAAGAACAATTAACTTCTGTTAAAGATACATGATACGATGTTTGTGTGTTGAGGATGTTTAGGGGGAATGAGTATGTGTCCTGTCAAAGAGTCCTCTGTCATGACTCCGAATCATTGATTGGGGGATCTGCCTGAGGGCAGAGGGACAGAAACACACACACACACACACATACACTGTGAAGCAAACGATGGAATCAACAAACTGACTTACTACCTGGGATCCCGCCCAGAAGGGAAACCGACCAATGGAACACTGCCAACTCACTGTCTAGCTCGCTCAGAAGTGAACTCTGTGTATAAATGTTGTGATCATTTTGAAGATCGGCGCTCTTGTTTCTGACTGGCCGTTCCTGAGACATGTCTCACGCGGTGGTAGAACCTGAGCCCGGACTACTCTGCAGAGTGCTTCGTGATTCGGTGATGTATTTGTATGACAGTGATGTTTATTGAAGCAGTATTCCATTGTTCGGTTTCCCTTCCTGGCGGATCCCAGGTAGTAAGTCAGTTGTTGGATTCCATCTGTGCTTCACAGTGTATGTTGAGTGTGTGTGTGTTTCTGTCCCTCTGCCCTCAGCAGAATCCCCCAAATGCGATGATTTGGAGTCATTGACAGAGGACTCTTTGACAGGCGACCACACTACTCATTCCCCCTAAACATCGTCCTAACTAACACCAAGAACCATCCTAATCATGTATCTTTATACAGAAGTCTAATTGTTCCTTATCGTTTAATGCTTCCGCTTTGACTTCGCCTTCACCCCAAAGTCAGCTTACTAGGAATGATACATTTTAGTTGATAAGCGTTCAAAGGACCTTTATGCTCATTACTGGCTGGGTGACCCAAGTTCTCAAGCCTGAGGATGTGTAGGAAGTAAAACCACTTAATGTCTACAAGACTTTAACTGCCTTATATCTGAAAATGTATCCGGCGGAATCCCCTGTTGATTGCAAGATATTGATATATTAATCAGAGCAGACCCTAGGGCTCCTTCTTAGTATCTGCTAGGCAGAAGTCACTCAATGCAGAAATACAAGTTTTAACAAGCACGATCTATATAAGGTGACATTTAAAATGAATATACCAATTAACTTTCCTGC